CTACTCGGAAGGCTGAGGCGGAAGGATCGCCGGAGCCCAGCAGGTCGAGGCTGCGGTGGCCGGGAGCGGCCACTGGACTCCAGTCTGGGTGACCGAGTGAGACTCCAACTCAAAAAAAAAAAACAAACAACAACAACAAAAAAACTGCCATAGTGATCTAAGTGGTGGAGATATCACTGAGGCACAAAATTTAGAGAAAACTCTCAGTTCATCACTCAGCAGATCAGCATCTGTGGTCCAGGAACAACACTGGGTGAGCATCTGAATCACCTGTAGTATAGACTGAGGTATACCCCAGGCCAACTGAATTATAGTGTCTGATGGTATGGCCCAAGAATCTCCATTATTTAAGATATTCTCTTGATTCAGAAGCTCATTTCAATTTTCACAGTATTTTTATGAAGCAGACACATACTAAAATTCAGACAAAGAAACAAGGCATATTGTGTCCTTCTAAGAGACTCAGCAAACCAAGGGTGGAGTCATAACTAATTTGGGTCTAGAGTTCTCAGCTTCAGTGTCCCAGGAGCTAGCCTTTGCTTTCAACTCTCTGGAGTCTTTGAAGACAGATCCAGGTACAATAACCCTACAGAGACTCATTAGGAATCTGAGAGGGAGAATTAATTCATATTTGTAGTTTGTCTGAGTGTCTGCAGTGAGCATATCCCAGGTGGTCTATACAGCTGGGTCCTACTCAGGCTGAACTGAAAGGGTTCTTGGGCAGGCATGGAGAAAGCATGTGTAAGAAAACGTGTATGGAACCTATGACAAAAGCATTTGTAATTTGTAACATAATGGGTGCTTGGTAGATGCCCAATAAATGTCAATTTCCTCCTTGCTCCAATTTGGAGTATTTGTTTATTTATTTATTGTAAAGATGTGAAGTACAAGTCAGAATTAGTTACATAAGTAGTCTATGTGCAGGTGAAGTCTGGGCCTCCAACTGGTCCTCCCTTACGCTGGTACTCTTAGTGATGCCACATTCCCCCCCCACCTGCAATGTCCTGCTATGGCTGATCCCTCTCTTTTTTTTTTGAGTTGGAGTCTCACTCTGTCACCCAGACTGGAGTACAGTGACATGCTCCTGGCCACCGCAGCCTCGACCTGCTGGCCTCTGGCAATTTTTCCGCCTCAGCCTTCCAAGTAACCAGAACTAGAGGCGCACGCTACCACGCCCTAATTTTTATTTTATTGTAGAGACAAGGGTTCGCCAAGTTGCCTGGGTGGGTTTCGAACCCTCGGGCTCAAGGCAATCCACTCGCCTCAGCCTCCAAAGGGATGGGATTACAGGCTGAGCCACCAAGCCCAGCACAATCCCTCTCTTATAGTATTTTTTTTTTTTTTTTGAGTTGGAGTCTCACTCTGTCACCCAGACTGGAGTGCAGTGGTCGCTCCCGGCCACCGCAGCCTCGCCTGCTGGGCTCCGGCGATCCTTCCACCTCAGCCTTCCAAG